CTAGCGCCCTTTGCACGTTCGGTGGGCGAAACGATCGCGCGATCTCCTTCACTGCGACGTCGAAGCGGGAACGTCCGAGCGGGGACTTGATCTTCGCGAAACCGGACGTGGGAAATGAAAAAAATAGAAGATGAACCGGAGAAGAGAGGAGAGAAACGGGGAATAACGTGGGAGAATAAAGGGAAAACCTAAGACAACGAACTGCGGGGAGCCGAGGACGCTTGAAAGAAGACGGACTGAAGCGGAGGAAGCTCGCGAGGTCGGACGCTAAGAGGACGTGTCGCGAGTGGTTCGGCTGGAGGTTCTGGTAAGGGTCGAAGGGACGGAAGGACGGACGGACGGACAGTGGAGCGAGGGTAGAGAGCGAGGACGAGGATGTTACCCCGACGGCTGTCGCCAAAGAAGTGATAGGTCTGCGGCCTTGCGCGCGGTACCCGAACCGCCGAGGGTGCCGAGAGGGCGCCGAAGGGAACCGACGCGACGTCGCCGAGGGCGCAGACGCCGGGGTGTATCGGCGGACGAGGACGGCGATGATTGGCGGCGACGGTCCGATGCAGCCCCGCTTCCTCGTGCTCCGCCAATTCGTAGGGGTGAATCCGTCCGCCGGCGACCCCTACTGCCCCGCGCGCCGGCAAGAACGGCGCGGAGGGGGGCCGAGCGCGCGGGGGTGCGCAGCGCGTGGTGTGCCGGCCCCTTCCGAAATTCGAGTGTCGTATTGCGCTAGACGGAGACGCGTCTCTGTTGGCCCTTTTTCGCCCTTTCCTCGGTGTGTGTTTGCGCCGGGCGACTTTGCCACGGTAAGATTTAGCGGCGGTGCGTACGTACGCGCGCGTGCACGTACACAGACGTGGGGGGGGGGGGGGGCACACGGCATTAAATCGCAGTAATCGGGGCGACGCCGCGCAAATTTATACGACGATCACCGAGAGGATGCAGTTGTAAATCGGTCTAATGATGTCGCCAGCCCGAAGACCCCTCGCTCGCCGGTCAGAATGACCGAGCGGAAGGGGTGAAGGGGGCTCTTCAGCGTCGTCGTCGTCGTCGTCTCGCCGCGTACACATCCAGCACGGCGGCCCGAACGACGCTCGTTATTAACGAAGGGCACGTGTGAAATTAAAGTAAAATATACCAATGCCTGTACATTCTTGTTGCTTTCGTCTTTAAAGACGAATATTTAATCATTAAACATAAATATTCGTATGTATTCAATATATATATATACAATATATTCTATATTGAAAGTTTGAACATTTGTATTTGAAAGACGAAACGACAGGAATGTCCAGAATTAAGTATTACGTGTCCAGATATCGTTACTTTTATCTTACTCGAACAGGGACCGAAAACGGAGTTACATGTATAATGAGCGTCCATAAGAGTATTCCGTCAGTGCTTATCGCGTCGCACGATAAGCGATCGGCGACGGCAGCAAGGTCGGGGTAATTTTCTTAGACCCCCGGTGTACTTCGGTTACCAAAGTCGCTGCTGCGAAAGGTTCGACGCAGACCCACCCCTGTCGCTCGAGGTGTACCAGAGGGTGAACGGGGCGACGAAGCGGAGGGATGATAATGCGTGTCTGCAGGCAGGAGGTCTCCTGCGAGAGGATGGGGAGTGTCACTCAGGAGCACGACGTGTAAGAGAATGGTCACCGTCCTGGGGGGTGAATTGAGATGTACAGGCAATTTATGCAGCCGGCGCGCTCTTCTCTCCTCTGGAAAAATCGGAGAGCGCTGACCATAAACGCTTGCAAAACATCGCCGTGCTTTTTCGCCTCCCCCTCCCCTCCCCGGTTCTCTGCCCGCCGGCCAACTCGGAAAATCGAACACCGGGTAGCCGAATTTTTCCGAACAGCTGATGCCGATATTTTCGTCGTCGCCGTCGGATTTACGGTGGCCCGGGAAAAGTGGTCGAATAAACGCGCGGCTCAACTCGAAATAAAGCCGCGTAAACAAATTGCCCGACCGAAAGGAAATTAAAGCCGAGGGAAAAAACGGGAAGATTAGTTGTCATCGAGCGTATTTGTGATAATGAACCGAAGTATCCGGGTCGATGCGAAAGCTCGTCCCGTGTTTTCATCATTCATCGGTTCTTCGGTGAAAAATGTCAGAATTTCCACGAATCGCGCAGCCATCGAAGAGAGATGGCGGCTCGGACAAAACGGCGCATACTGGATTTGATCGTATTTTAAAACGCATAAATGCTATACGTACGTTCTGATTGAAGAAAGGGGACGAAATTTTGCACGAAACTCAATATCCTATTATTAAGGTGGTGGGAATATTTTTAAAGTAGAATTTCTCACGGCTGAAATCGCATTGAGGACACTAATCGGCGCGGTACGCGCGCATCAGTACATCCATGGCGATTCATTTAGCCCGTAAACAAGTTGCATTTGCAAGGGAAGCTGCGGAAGGACGTCCATCTGTATCACGTGTCCGCTCCTTGCGCATCATGACGGAGGAAATGACAGAAATCAAGCTTCGACAGCGGGGGGGATGGAAAACAGAGGATGGCTTTCGTCCGGGATGAATTAAGGATCTGTGTTCCCCCTAAGTATATTCCTGCCTTTCTTTCTGTTCGCCATCTCGCGCTCTACCCACTCGCCTCTGTCCCACTCTCTCTCTCTCTCTCTCTCTCGATATGCCATCAACCCTTATCGTGGTAGCGTCAATCACTCTCTCTCCATACATGGTGAAACTTATCGTTCGATTAATCGGCCTGACAATGCGCCTGTCGATTCGAGTTACCCCCCGGTACTCGCGCGTGCGGTCAGTCCCCGAAAATGCAGCGCTCGTCCGACGATTTACGGCCGGAAAAGTTTTATGGCTGCCAATTATACGGAGGATCCTCTCGCGAAATTGTTACCGAGCGAAAGCGTAAACTATTAGAGAGCGCGCGATGCTTCCTCCGCGTTTCAACGCGAAGCGTTCGAAAGTGCGTTCACTCGCCGGGGAGCGAAGTGCGTTTGGTTCGTTTGAAAAAAAGGTCTAGATAGAAAGATTAAAAAGAAAATGAAAGGATACGTTGTCGCTCAATGCGTGTTACGGAGACTAACGCGTCTGGTGGCATGAATACGGTTAGGCGTATGCTGGGAAAATTTCGGAAAAAGACACTCGACGTGATAACTCGAATTACTATACTCGTGTGTGACTCGCGCGTCGAGTAGTAAAAGCGGCCGTTAAAGTAGCGTGAGTTAGTAGTTTGTAGTTGACAAATTCAGTCACCGTACTAGCGAGCTAATTTGTGGCCCGAAATTACACGGCGCCATGTGACATTTCGCAGTCGGCACGACGGCGTGTTGAACGATGGTAAATTCGCGGGCTCTTTCACCCTTATAGCAAATTTTATGCTGGGATATCGCGCGCGTTTGCAAAAATTCCTCATGCCGGTCTCCGCCGGCGGTAGTAATTCATCGTGTAATCCGCGTTTATCCGCTGTCTAATAGCGTAACGAGGCGGAGGACGGAACGTGGCCCTCCGAAACACGCATCGACGATGTTCAGGGAAACAGTTACGTGTGCCGTCTGCATGTGTACGCGGAGAAAAGTGTAAAACGGCCGCAACAGCAGTAGTTACGATCAAAAGTGGCAACGAACGTCATACGTTCAACTTGCCGTATAAATCTACGCGCAAGTAGAACGAGCGTCGGACTGTGCTTGTTTGCAGCTCGCAGTTCGAATGTAGGCGGCTGTAAGTTCGGCGCCGAAATGTCTGGACCATAACGTTTCGCTATCCATTCTATGGGCCATTGACGTTCGTGCTGGCGCGAGCGCGGTATATCGCACTCCGAAGTCTCGGACTCTCGCGGGTAGAGAGCGTTTTTTCTTACCATCGTCGAATATTCAATCGCACGACGGAATTTGCATTTTCGCCGATCCAAAGGAGGTACCGGCGTGATTCCGATCTTTCAAACGGAATAAATATATCTCGCTCAATGAGTATCCCGAAGAGTCGGTGCGCGAGAGAATAAGGGGAACGCGAAAGAGTAACAATTAGTTCCGTCAGATCGAGAAGGAAAAGTTTCGATTCTTAACGATAGTAAGAGGTAATTCGTCTCGAAGAGTCGTTCCCCCGGCATTCAGCATGCAACGCGTTGCGGAATTATCGAAGACGAGGCGAACGAGGCGGGTTCGGCAATGCGCAATAAGCAACGTTTGATCCCTCCCGCTGTGGTTGTTGTTGGAAATACAACAACTGTGTAACTACCGAGTTTGGACAGATGCGCAGATTGCATGAACCGCAGAGTGGAGATTAAAGATAATTCAGGGAGATACGAGTAAATTGGTCAACGCGGGGAGACTATCGACGTTTAACGCCATTTGCGACGGGCCGTTTGCTCGTATTCTTACGAGGCGGTATCTTTTATCGGACGGCACGTGGACATCCGGCGACGTTTAATGTTGAATAAAAAAAAAAAGAATCGTCAATGGGGAATTTTAAGAGGTGAAATACCGCGGAGGGTGCAACTTGTATTGCTGTATTCGCTGAACTTTCGACGACTACTTGGCTCAACTTGGCCGGATATTCGATTAAAAATCCAAGCGTGGCGGCATTCGTACGTCCTCAAATTACTCGCGCTCACGGGGGTGAGTGCATCCTCGTGCCCTTCTCCTCACCCCTCCCTTCCCTCCGACCGATCTCGAAATGCCTATTCAAATTTTACGGCCCATATTTGTCGCAATTAAGTATAATGTTTTCGGGCTTATGGCCCAGAAATATTCCATATTGAGCATCAGGGGTGAGAGCGAGGAAGCTCGCCTCGATATAACACGGAACAGAGATAAATTCGGGGACGGGGGCCCTGAGGGGGTCGCACGGACGAAGAGGGAAAGCAGGGGGTTTATGGCATCGCGCGGGTATAGCAGGCACTTTCACGATTCGTCTGACTCACGCTGAAGAAGCGACGGAGAGGGATGCGGGATCTCTTTTACGAGGTTCTCCCGACGAGAAAGTGAGCAGTGAATACGATTTGCGTACCGGAAGCGGTCACTTCATACTTACCGCTTCGTCGTTGCTTTTTACGTCGTTGCTACTGCTGTTGCTGCTGTTGTTACTACTACTGCCGTTGCTGCTGCTCCTCCCCTGGTGGTGTGCACCAAAAATTTGCGTTCGTTCGTTCTCGCTTCTCGTCGATCAGTCGAACCTGAAAGCTAAAGTGACAAAATTATGTTTTCGGATACTCATTCGAGCGTACTCGCCAAATTTCTTGCACTGAAAACAGGATTTGGTAAGAAGTACTAAAATTTGGTAAATATTTGCCGACCAAATGCTTGATTACCACAACCAAATATTTGGTCGTTAAATATTCACCAAATCTTAGTACTATTACCAAATTCTTTTATCAGTATGAAGCGAAATCTCATAAGGGATGAACGAAAAATCACTCGATTTTGAAAATACTATTACTCGAGAAGTGACAAGAGTAAATATTAAATTTACTCAAGCTTAAAGTGGATTTTTAATCGAGTGAGTGTTAGTTGATTCGAGTGAATTTGTTCCCGTGACGGTAAATCCGAGTCGAAATTTTGACCCTATGTTAAACTTTGAATTATACAATACAAGGAAGCTAAAAATAACACAAAACGTTCAACTCTAATAATATAATTTACTCTTAATGATATTTCTGTTTCCGTCTTCAGCTGTTTTCAGTGTCAAAATAGGTTGTTTTCATATGAATTTAATAATTGAAATATCGAGAGGTCTACAGCTTTAAAGTAACATTAAAATCAAATCTATATAATTAAATATTTAAAAAAGAAAACTTAATAAGTATAGTATCGTCAAAGCAGACTTTTACTGGTCTATAAGCCATTTAAATAGGTGCAAACTACCCTTAAGAGCGTCAAAGTTTCGATTGAAAATATTCACTCGTCGATTCAGAGTGGAAGAAATTGCTCTGTGTGGATGAAAAGTCATTCGATTTTCGAGTGATTCGGTAGTCACTCAAGTTTCGAGTGGGATTTCACTCGAAGAAATTTAGAGAGTAGAATATATCTTATAACTTGTTAGATGATATGGTGAAATGAATATAGGAGGCGAAATTAGTTTACCTTCTCTCTCTCTCTCTCTCTTCTCCCACCTTTGTATAATATTATTTATTATTCTATTTGTTTATTATTATCCAACTAAAAATAATAAACGTAACCCTCCAATTTGAAAATACAACATAACAAATTTAAATTAATTAATTAATTAATTACAAAGAACGTGTATGGATATTATAACCACCCCATCCGGCCGCTATTTGTCCAGTTTCCCGGCGATTATTATATCTGTATTCTGCCGCGAGTTCTTTCGTCCTCAAGGGGTCGCGCAAAGACCTCCGACTCCAAAGTTCGCGCGAAACAACCGCCGAGTAACCCTATCCCTCGCGCGAAACCGCACGACACCAACAATATGGAACATGCCTGGCACGTGTCGTCCGGGAAGGACAGAAAAAGAAATAGAAACTCCAGAAACGGTGTCGTGTTGGCAGAAAAATTCTCAACGACTCTTCCACCACGCGACCCGGCAAAAGGGAAATAGGAGAGGAGGGGGAGATGGCGCCTTGAAGATTTTCGCAAATTTCGGGCGCGCCGGTGAAGAACGCGAGAAAGGGAGCGGAGATGGTGGCGACGGCGGCGAAGACGGAGGGAGAGAGATAGGAAGAGAGAGAGAGAGAGAGAGAGTGAGAGAGAGGGAGAGAAAGAGAACGAGAGCGAGATCTCGATAGAGAGACGAACGAGCAAAGAGCGGAGAGGGAAAAGAGGAGGTGAGGGACAGAGGGAGAGAAACAGGCAAAGGGGGGTGAGTGCTGGCGGCGTTATGGCGGGCGCCGAGGGTGGCGCCGCGACGCTTTGGCGCCTCCGACGCCGAGACGCTCCACTGATGCTGGCTGCATGTACCCACGCACACATCCGCGTCCCTCTCGTTCCGATTTCTCGACCCTCCGCCACCCACTCTCCCTCTCTCTCTCTCTTTCTCACCCTCTTCCTCTTCCTCTCTCTTGGTCCCTTTCTTCCACCCTCCCGCCAGCGTTGCCTCTCGCCACGGCCCGCCGACGTACACGTAATACACGTACGCGCGCAATGAGAGTTCGAGATTCTATTTCACACACGCGTACACGCCACCCCTGTCTTCCGTCACTGCTGTCCTAAACCGCCGTGCGTATACGGACATTCTATGCAGCGCGGGGGGAGGAGGGGGTTGAGCAGCACGGGGGACGTGCGGGCGATGTTAGGTGCGCACCAGAAGCGGAACTGGAATCCGTCCTCGAGTTCGGTGCGGAAAGGCGAGGTCACTCGTCTCCGACTCGACTCCGAGGGGTGTGGCATGTGTCAAGTAGGCCCGAATCGCTCCCGTTTGGGCCTATTCCGATGGAATTTATCACGACGCGCGTGGGAAGACCGGGGGGATGGACTGTTGTTGACGTCCCGAGCATCCTGAAGGACGCGCTCTCGGCCGTTACTTTCTTAATTAAAAAATCCGAAGCGGCGATGAGAGAACTCGTTCGGAGAAGAAGAGAGGGAGAGAGAGAAAGAGACAAAGAAAGAGAGAGATCCGTGACTTTCGCGCTCGTTCAAAAGTTCGCTACCTGTGCCGAGAGAAAACTGTATCCCTTTTGCGGAGACAAGGCGTTAGAATAAGAGAGAGAGAGAGAGAGAGAGAGAGGAAAGACAAATTTTTACGGCTGTGCGAAACTATAAAGCAGTCAATGACCTGTCAATAGTCGCGACAATGCCAACAGCCGCGTGCCGTCGACCCTATAATTTCGCAACAGCGGAATCGTAGCAGCGATAATGCCGCTCGATTGCGGCCGCATACCGGGATTAGGCGGCGTTGCTGTGTGATTATATCTGTACGGGCAGATGCGCGCGCGAGAGAGAGAGAGAGAGAGAGTGACGAGCCTGGGATCAATGCCGTGCGATGACTGTTAATTAACGAACCTTCTATCACCCCTTCCCCATCCCCCTCTTCCTGCCCCTCCGTCGAAATTTCTTTACGCGATTATTAACGCCGCGCCGAACAGCCTCTCTCTCTCTCTCTTTCTTTCTTTCTCTCTCCTTTTCCTGTACTCGGCCGTCCCGAAATTGAGAATCGATAGCGAATTAATGGATCAATACAAGTCTGTACGCTCGGAAGCGGCTTCTTGACCTCCTCGCAAACACAAAGTACAGGGATCTAAGGGCTGAGGAATACATTCAAGTATTCGAGTGAATTGAAATGTTCCGAAGTATCCTCAAAAGCAGATATGTTTACGTTAACATTGATGTCGATCGGTTCGTTTCGACCCATTGAATCGTTTTTCAGACACTTTTAACCGGCGAGCCGTTCGTTCTGCCACATTTGTTTGCCCTCGAAATTCCTGCAGCGAGGCGTGCGCGATCGGGAAGGAAAATTAACAATCACGTCAATTATCGCGCGTCCGTTCGCCCCTCGCGCGATATGCAAACAAGTGGGCGCGACTCCCAAGCAGTCGTCTCTTAAATTATGATACGCGTTATGAACATACGACGTCGACAACAACGACGACGAAATAAGCAATATGACGAGAGAAAGAGAGAAAGGGAGAGAGAGAAAGAGGAGAAAGGGAGAGAGAAAGAACCAAATAATAAGGACGGAACAGAAATCGAGTTGCGGCTCGTTACGAATTTATTGTACCGCTCCTAATCTCGCAGTCCGAGAACTTCTTGCTTCGCGCAAATGTACTTTCTTAGTTACGCATATCTCGTAGTTTAGTCCGCTGTTAACCCCCCTCCTCCTCCTCCTGTCGCCTATCTGTCCTTCCGCCGCTACCGCGGTAAATTATTTCACGACGATGAAATTCAAAGTCGGTCGAATTTTCGCGCGAAATCGTGATACCACTGGAACGAACGTAACGAATGCGCAACAAATGAGTTTTAAGGGTGAATCACGAGAGCCAATGTCACTATTGACGAAGTGTTTTGCACCTTGCCGTTTCCCTTAATTGATTGATACCGAATGTCCCGCAGCTAACGTAAACACGTTTATTCACGTAATTAGCGATACGATTCTTTAATCGAGCAACTTGTTGGGAATGAGACGAGGAGAGAAAATGTGTCGCTCTCTGTGTCAACGTGAGTGAAACCGGATTGTAACCGTGGATTGTAAACTAAAGACGCAAATTGATACGAGTATGTCGGCTGAATAGCTTTCGGGCGAACGAACGAAGAAGGAAAAGAATCAGGGTAAAGCGTATAGTCGGGAAATACACGAATATAAGTAGAAAATAAGTGTCCTTCAGACTTCCGCTCGTTATCTAACAAACGATTCCGCGCAATATACCGTCGCGGATAATGCGTAATAAAATATCTCGTCGTAAAAATGGCACAAGAGACAACTAATAAAGCGCACCGCACCAGTCGTAACGTATAATCCTGTAATGGGGGTTGTTGCACACGCAGGTTATGCGAGGATCATAACGGCCATAAATCCAATGAATCGTCTTGTCCCGCCTAGCGCATCGATTCGTAAAAAGATTCTCGTTTGCCGTAATGACTTAGCGCGTTCGCAACGAGGTTATCGCGGCGGAGACGAAAAAACGAGAGAGAGAGAGAGAGAGAAAGATAGAGAATGAAGGACGATCTGAACTACAATGCAATACGATGTTTCGCGCGAGGATTTATCATCGAACAACGGGAATTATTTTTTTCCGGATAATTTTTCCAAATAAAATTATTTTTTTCTAGATCTTCCTGTCCGGGGAGATTCATCGAATTCCACGCGAATTATGCCACAGATTCAGATACAAACAGCGGATCTCGTTTTGTCGCGTCTCTCGCGGAAATTCAATTCGTCGACTAACGAGCGCGTGCGTCCGCGTGTCGGGCGGGAGGGGAGGGGGTGAAAAAAAAATAAACAGGCAAACAAATAAACACAGAATCTCCCCTTTGTATTTCACGCGATGAAGAACAATTCGTTGCGTCGGGTCTCGCAACAACGGCCCCGTGAGTGAAAAATCCGGAGTCGGTCGGTGTGTCGCGCGGGGTAGGAACGTGTAACGTAAGGGTAATCGCCGCCGGAGCACTCGATACTCCAAGTATCGAGTTGTCCCCCGCAACGACAGCCTCGTAATATCATCTGCGAGCGCGCGTAAAAGGGCAGAGAGAGAGAGAGAGAGAGATACGCTCTATACGTTGTCCCTCGGTCG